ATGTGGAAGCGGATTTCTTTTCTTTTTCGACAAAACTTAATTTATTATAATGTGATTTGTGTACATTACATAATCCTTATGCAAAGAAGGAGTTAACCAAACAGGAGGGTCACTGGGTAAGTACAACTTTAATGGGCTTAAATTTGTAAAACATGATTAACATGATTATGTTATTCATGGGTAACTAGGTAAGTACGATTTTAACTGGCTAACCAAACAAGAGGGTAGTTGGCCTTAAATTTGTAAAACATGTATTTAATGGGCTTATGTTATAAAGTCAATGAGAATATATAGAGATTTCTACCATTACATATAATTTTAATTGAAATGGCATGATTGGATAAATTAAGTGACGTGTCTTCTAAAATGCTCTTTGAACGACACATGATTTTTGTCTCTAATATCTCATCAATTAATATATATAAGATGGATTTGTTGTCCTAAAATTTATTGTTCTTCTCTTTTTTTTTGTTAAAGAAAATAATTAGGGAGTAATCCGAGTTTTTATTGTTCCACTAATCTTCTAGCTGGAGTATAGCCGTCGAACTACCTTTTATTGTTCTTCTCGTTTATTCTCTTATGGATTTATGTGTAAAACAAAACGTACCGCGATGCTTATTTTGAGTGGATTATCATAGGAGAATCTGTTACTGCTGATGAGTTTTCCAATATATAAATCGTGACTAAGAATCATCAAATTCCTGTGAATAGATCTGTAACTTTTCTCAATCATATTCCATGATTAACCTCTTATGATTTTAATTTCAAAAAAATTAACGTCTCTCTTTTTACTCTTTCTAAAGTGTTTTGGTCATTGAACAATTTATTTTGGATACATATGTATGCTATTCCTCCTGTTAACTCCCCAGCTCATGACGATCTCCAACATCCCCTTTGCACAAATTTGTTGAGGATTTACCTATTTATTTTGAGTACTAGAGAATTTGATGGTACATAACATATTTTTTCTTTGTTTTTCCATAACGTTGAAGCGAGACTTTAGGCTAAAGGAGAGGATGAGCGTATTAACCTTATTCAAGTGTATGCTCTCTTTTCCTTTATTTGTGTTTCTATGAGAACTAGAAGAAAAAACTATCAGTCTTCAAGGTTTGGAAATGGTCTTTGTTCTACATAAATTGGAGATTAGATATCAACATTGAAATCGGATTTTATCTTAAAAAGAATTCAATAAAATCATCTTTTGAGAAAAAGTAAAACTATATGGTCTTCACCATTTTTTTTAGTATAGTTCTAATAAAACAATTGATTTACAGCTGCAAGAAAAAAATATAAAAGTTGGTTCAAACATTTGTTGTCACACTGAGTGAAAAAACTGATTAAAAGACTGCTATTCGAAGAATTACATGACAAAATGTTATTCTAAAAATGGTATGAATTTGTATGTTTGTCTTGGATTGCATGTACTTGTTTGGAGTTCTAGATATGTATCAAGTATGTTTTATACGAACCTTTAAATTGTCTCTCCTATCTCATGTTGCTTGCTTTAAGCATTTTTTCAATTGGTTTTTACATCACAACTAATCATACAATTTCCTTAACATGATTTGTAATTAAACTTCTAAAACATAAATTATTATTTAGTTTGCAACATAAACTTTGTTAACCTAGTTAAATCCATAGAATTGCTAATTAATTAAACTGATGGTTTCCCGCCAATGATCCGAGATGCTGCTGCATCACTCACTATCTCCCCATCTCGGTTACAAGTACAACCAAGTCGAGACTTACAAAGGAATCGAGGAAGATGGAGAAGTAATCAACTTTCATAAAATTTAAATAACACTTAAGGCTTTTTTCTTTCTATACCGAAATTTTATTATACGGCAAAAAAATGTCATGATACGTCTATTCGCTTAGTCGCCATTCAAAATGTTCGTTTGGATTGATTTTTCTTTTTTCTTTGGTAAACAAGGGTTAGAGTGCAATTGCGTTTTTTCTTATTTATTTTAAAGAGTTTGTAGAAGTGTTTTTTTTTTCCTCTCCATTGGAGTG